CTCCGGTGCGTCGCGATGTCTGTATAAAGGCGCCGCGCCGTCATGAAATACTATCGGATCTAACATTTTCCTTATGATTAGTCATGCTATGACTTAGAGAGGGGCGCCCTGAAAAAACCTTAAATCAAAAAGGGCGTCGTGAGTCGAAAAAGTTTGGGAAGCACTGGTATAGACAATAAACTTTAAAATTGTATGATATAATTTTAAAATATAGCAAGGGCCAAATAAGAAAAGGCTCTGTATACCATATAATTATACAATATTTATGAATATTTTACATTTTTCAAACCCCCCCTCCCCTCAAAAATGTTTTTTGCTTTCGCCCCTACGGTTCGTTTTAGTGCTGTTACCATGTTCAACGCTAACATTTGTATTATCGTATTATCACGATTATAATTAATATTATTATCGTTTTTTGTTTTGTGATGTTGATGCGCGAACGGATCGTCAGTGCCGGAGCAATATAAAATTTTATGTAGTGTTGCAGTTGTTTTTACGAGAATATGCATTAAAATTTCACATGGAAATCAGCTAACGCGTTCGTCGATAAATGGTATTCATGAAATATGAGCAAAAACTAAGGCTATAAGAACAAACCGTAAAGAAAAAAAGAACGTTGAAGGGACAAGTTTTTTTTTTTTTTTGTTGAACCCGAGTATATTTTTTTTAATCTCAAGTCAAGGGATATGTAACTTTTTCGCCTAACCGGGTCATATTATTTTTAAGTTTCTCATCGAAGGCAGCGTTAAATTAAAATTTTATTCGAAACCAACATTATTAAAAGTACAATTTTAGCGTTCAAATATCTAACTCCAATAAACATGTAATACCTACATTCAACAATATCAAACATATTCTAAGTTCCATTGTTTATTTGTCTTTAAATAAACATCGAATAAAATTAAATATTTTATGTTTATAATTAGAGATATAAAATTAATTTTTTTAAATACTATAAGAAATATTTGGAGGGCTTCAGAAAAATGTTACCTGGGTTTCCGCCGTCGCTGAACCATTACAATAAATCAAGTGTATGTAAAACATGTGTTGATATAATTGGAATTCGTTTGACGAGTTAGGTATATGAATAATTTCCGATTTTGTTAAATCAATATCGAACATATTTCTGGTATTATATTTATTCGACATGAATCGAATCTACACAAACGTCAAATAAATTCTTCATCAAATCATATTTTAAAAAGTAATTTTTTAAAAAAAAAATACTCATTGGAGGGAAAATGGCTGTTTGAATGTTCGATATTAAAATTATTGTTCGAAAGCTAATAAAATAAAATAAAAGTTATTATTATGTCGATTATTTCTTCGACACGATGAAACCTTATATTTTTTTCAAATACTCACGTTTCAAATGTTTATACATAAAGAAACAAAAATATATTACGGTCAATAATATTATTGGCAATCGGTTGACGAATGGAATGATTAGTTTGATATTAATAAAATACACCATTGTATATATCCGACACTTGAGATGACCAAATTATACTTTGCCTGGCGATCGTCTAGATTTCTGTTACGCTCTGCAGGTCTGCTCACTTATTTGGGTTGATTTATACTGTAGGAACTAGGTTTCTGAAAAATGTTCTAATTATTGGAAATTGATTAAATTTTAAAAATATGTTACTTATTGTTTTATTTTGGTAAAAAAGCTAAAAAAAAAATATCAATCGCACATACATTTTGTTTTAAAATTATAATTGCCGTTATAGGATTAAAATTAAAATAAAGTGTATTTCACGTTTACAGTTCCATTGTAATTGTTAGACTTTAATGATGATCAAAAACATTAATTTGACACAAAATACAATTAATCTATAGACTACATTGAATATACTCGTAGCTTTGCAGTGTCGCATTATTTTTTAAGTGTACACCTAAATACGTCTTAAATAATTACATTTTTTTGAACTCTATATATTTTTAAATTACGAATATCCGGTCGAGGTCACACATACTCCTTTAGATGATGATATTTCTAGAAAAATTATCAATGCATTTTTATCATTATTATGCATCAGTAACTTTGTACATATTGGTTACAATAAATTCACGGTTATTTTCACATGAGTAAATATAGGTATCATTATGATGTCCTTAGTATGAGTGTAAAATTTAAGATACATTTTAACAAATTTCGGATGAAAAAAAACGAATTTAATTTGAAGACGTTTTTTAATTTAACAAAAATTAGTTAGTATACACTGATATAAACATACATATTTGTTATGGCTTAGATAAATAAATGAAAAAATATTCATATAATGTTTCAGTACTTGTATAATGCCGTTAAGAAATTCTAAAAAATATCGATAATATGCATTATATCATGTTTTTAGCGTTATAACGTATAAATAGTTTACACACACAAATAAAAACGGATGCATTTAATAAACATATAGCTTAGATACATAATATTCAACTACAGAGATAATATCTTTTTTGGATAACATTTAATTAAATCTATTTATATTCAAATAGAACAACAGCCTGATTATAATATTTGGAAATAGAACATTTCATATACAAAAAGTACAGAAAATCAATATAAATGTGAATAACAGCCCTATAAACAAACTCCAGTGACCAGAATCATACAAAAGTAATTTAACCGTCTTAGATATAAACTACAAAAGAACACCTGCAGATGATGACTGAGAAACACATAAAGTGTGATAAAAGTTATATGATTTCATCCCAGCATCGTTCAATTCTTACATTATCTAAACAGTTTTCGATATTTACTTTGCGAGGAATGTTAACACTGTTGTATGAATACTTATGAAATGAGGTTTAAGGATGACGAGCCCTCCAATAGTTTTGTTCAGCCGATGGATGCAGTTCTAAAGATGAGTGATATTTTAAAAAGCATGTGAGTGTTCAACAAAATTTTATTAGTAAACTACACGTTGCATATCGTTAGAATAAATCGTAATGTTCACGTATATATTTAATGTCGTCCAGGATAGTTGTTCAAGAGCCCTCTGAACAACCTTGGATCAAGCGATTTTATTAATATAATAATAAAAGCGTCTGATACTACATATATATATATAACGAACAGCTATTTAAACATTGCGTATCTGATTCTATTTGAATGTGTTCATATGAACTGACTTAATAATATGCACACTTGCTGCGGTTTTGCGTGAAGCGGTGCTGACCACGTAGGTATACCACAACAGTTCATAAAAAATGATTGGAGGTATAATATTATTTCAATGGAAACTTAATTCATAAGATATCTATCGTTAATATTGCGATAACAAAACCACCGTTGGTCGCCGTCCGATGGTGTTGAAATATGACATGCAAACGTATGTATCGCATTTGAAACGTAAGTTTTACCGATTTTCAGCTAAAAGTAAGTACTTATGTGCTGTATGCAACACAAACGTTTTCTCTTCGCCATTGAGTTTTTCCACATAGGTACCATGCGTTTACGGACTAGATATACTTCGAAACACGAAGTATTGTTATGATCTCAGTCGGTCGACTGCAGTCCAAATGTCTGCGGCAATTCGCGTATCTCTGGCGCGAAGAACTCCAGCGATAAACAATAGATCCTTTTGTTTTTCCAAGAAACCATGGTATCATGTTAGAAATTAATAATAATATAAATCACTATATAATTCATATCCGGTGCAATGGGTTTGAAGTCACAGCCGAATGGCTTTTCGAGGGCGACGGTGTCGGAGCTATTACCGTATATTATTGTTCGGACTAAAAATCAGAGTTGTGTCGCGGGGGTAGTATTTGACAGGTGCTGTTAGGTTCAACGGTCTGGAACGCCCTTTTTCCATTTTTCTTTTTTATGTGTTCAACACTGCACACATACACATGCGCGTAACGTACGCTCATACATTCAAGTCGAAAACGTGATAAAAGCTTCGGTTGGTAGTTTTACGCTTTGTTTGCTTCCGAATCCATCATTCCGCAAACGACCCGCATAATATCACGACCAGTTTTTATATATGACTAGGTGAATCACCCGAAAGATATTTTACTATTTCAGACTAGAGTGAATACTAATCCTAAACCTAACATTTTTAGAAAAGTGCGCAGTCGTCATATATTAAAATCATATTTGTTTTTATATATACTTTATTAATTAACATTTATATCGCAGTCTATAAAATTTGTAAAATCCAAATTTTGAAAAAAATAAAGTGTTTCCTTGATTAACCAAAAAGGGAAAAACTTTATATATCTATCCCAATACTGTTTCGACAAATGTGACTTTCGAAAAATCCTTTCTTATTGTACATCTAAAGAATTAGATGACTCACTGCTACGGTTTCAATTTAATGTGTTAAAAGTTTTTGAGATGTAACGATCAGTCAGTGAATGAATAGTATTTGAATTTGATATTTATTTAAGATTAAATGATAAAAAAAATCCACGAATAAAAAAATTGCTATTGTTCGTAAATTGTTGGCTTTTGGAAAAACAAATAGATTATTAGTAACAATAGTCCGGAGTCGCTGAAATAACAATTAATCTACAAAAACGGATGATGTAAAAAAAAAAAAAAAATGCAATAAACCTGAACTACGTATAATCAACGAACGCACTATTTTATTTCAACTGATTTAATTTGGTATGGAAAAAAATGTAAATGAGATAAATCGGTATTTTTATATTTTTTCAAGTTGAGAGTTAATCAAAATTAAAAAAAAAAAAATAACATAATTTATTAATTTGATACTTAATTTAATTATTATTAGAGTGGAAATGAAGTTATAGAAAAATGTACTTTGTTGGAAGGCATCAAAATTGAAAAAATTGAAAAATAATACTTTTCGTATTGCCTTTTCGTATTGCTTTAGTAAACAAGAATAATTGTAACGATAACCTACTTAATTCGATTGTCATAACTTATTTAAAGCTTTCATTGTACCTAATATTCTTAGATTAAAAAATATTTCAAAAGCGTGGCACATAAAAAAGTAATTAAAAAGTACATATAAATTCAACAGTTGATTGGAATTTAATTAAAAACATTCTCATGTTATTCATCGAGTTTATTGAGACTAAAGTAAAAAATAAAGCGAACGGAGATTCAAATCCAAAAAGCCAAGATCGACTTGACTCTTATTGTTTGAACCTTCCGTGTCCATTCATGACCACCTAGGCATTTACACGCACAGCCACAATAATTATTACGGGCGATTCTCGTAGCCATACGTACGCACGCATACGTAAGAACACACAAGCATAATGCTGTATCAAAGTTCACCGAACGGCACTGTTATGTTATGTCCAAAGAATTACACGTTTAAAGAGACTCCTATCAGTCACGATCGGAGACGTTCGAGTGATTGCCCACGGCGGCGTGTAATATATTGTTGTTTAAATTATAGAGTTTGGTATGAAGTATTCCGAGTCGTAGAGTAGTTTCGTCAGAAATGTACGTTTTCAAGCACAAATGCAGCTCGAAGAAAAATATTGGCGGTGGACTTGTCCGGCGAACGCGATGGATTGAAAAGGAAAACGTCGGCAAAGTATGTCACTGGTCCGCGCAGTATTCGTTTCGGTTTATTAACGGAGCCCATAAGAGTTTGTCGAAATCATCTAAAAGACGATCGCGCACAATATTTCGCGTCGTACGGAAAACCGTGGCAGTTCTAGTAAAATATGGCTACAACTCGTTTGCGCAAAAATGCACAACTCGATTGCGCACATATATTTTGGCTACCTGTGACGAAAATCCCTAGTGTCAGAACTCGTTTGCTTATTATACTCCTTATGATTATCAGAGTTGGTTACTTTTATTATTTTGTTTGATTTATTAACAATAACACTCGCAAGACATTTTTTAATAGTGCATCTAAAATTTGAACATCTACTCATTAAAACACGATATTCACTAAATTTATTATTATCAATATTAAAACATCGTTTTCCTCACCGAAATTCAAAAATATTAGAAATTTCTACGTCATATTAAAGTTTACGTCGTCAACACACTAGTCACCACTGTACCGATATGGGTACCAATTAAAATCGCGAAACATTTGAACAGTGAAAACATTAATAGCGAAAAGTAAGAAATATACCGGGATATACCTTTATAATATAATAAGTAATAATTAACATTAAAATCAAAATGCTATATGAAATAAAATTTAAATTTAATATTTTTCCTTAACTTGTGTATGTATATAAAATACATCATCACACTATGCTATGATAACAGTTTATATAATATATAAAAAGCTTAACAGCGATTAGGTTTAACCACGGCTTATCTTTATTACATGATCCAACACGTAAAAGTACTACCAATATTATATATATATACATACGTAGTCTATTCCTACCGAAACTTTACTAAAATTTGTCTGGAAAATCCAAATTTATATAATCTACAGTCTACACAGTCGATTATAAGATAATATATTTGATAATTTGTACTGCAGTCTGTGACGATATATGTATACACGTGTCATGTCTGTGAATTTGCGCAAACGAGTTATCTATTTTCAAGTAGACGATTGATTTCGTCGTGCTCAAACGAGTCGTCGATTTTCAGGTAAAAAAATTTAAATGTCCGCAAACGAATTGCAGCGGTAAAATATTGTTTAATGCCCAGCGATTACGTGAATTGAAGCACCGGAGTGGAATGCGTCGAATACACGACGCGATTTTTCTTTTGCGCCGATTCGATGTGATTTGGTTGCATCGATTTTTATTTTTCCGAACATCGTTTTGCCGTTGTTCCGTCGTGATGATTTCGATTTAATGTCAAACATACGCAGTTTCGGTTCGCCAGATAAACCAACGTTCTAGTCGCAATCAACAGGTGTGAAACTGTGTAGTGTGTACGGGTCACGTACGAGTCGCGCAGTCACGGTTTCGACACGAACGAGCCGAGAGAATCATGATACTATTAAACAAACAACTGTAACGGTAATGTGTCGTTATGCTGAACAACCCGAAAACGTCATCTGCAGTTGACTATAGCGATCGTGACTTCTGCTCGAAAAAAACCACTTCAACGAATCGGTGGCGATTCGTATCAAATACGTTGAAGGAGTGCGCGAAGTCCCAGCCATGGGCGCACATTCAGTCCAGAATTTGGGAACGTTAAAACGATTTAATCCGTAGGTGGCCCTTCCCCACAGCTACAGCGAGTGACCCACATTCATTAAAAAACAAAATTACAAGTCAAAACACGAACGAACGTCGAAGTATTGTTATAAAAAAAGAAAACACAACAAACCGGATAAGGGAGTCCCCCATAGTGTTAACAATGTGAATCGAATCGATACATTTTTGACATTACTCATCTCGTATTTGTGATTTATTGTGACATAAATACAAGTGAACATGTAAATACCAGTACCAACTGGAATAAGTTAATTTTCAAAAGCGCAAAAACAATCGTCTTCGAGTAATATTATTAGCTCCAAATGAGCTGAAAGTGATGAGTTTATGACCTGGGAATGCTAAAACATCAGTGCCAGTGATACGGGCAGTGATTTTATCATGAGTGGTCCTAAACGTCACATCTACGGTTTATTTTCAAAAACTTGTAGACTTCGCACACATCCCGATCGAAACGTCGACGGTTCAATCACATTTTAAACACACAGTCGTGGCGTGGCATGTCAATTGATTTGGACAGTCAATCGAAGCGATAAATGATGCAATTGAGGAACGCGTTCATCGAATGAATCTTTTACAAAAAAAAAAAATCTCCACCTATCGGTTTATTCTGCCGAACAATAATGTTTACTTACGTATTGATTTGAAACTTTTGCTCAACGTTTTCCATCGGTTATGTATATAGAACGGTCACCTGTCGATTTCGCATTTCGTCGATTTATAACTTTCAAATTAGTTTTTCACGATGAACGTGCAAAGAAAAAAAAACAAGTTTTTAACTGGTTAGTCACGTTAAAATTTGACGTCACTAATGTGATCTGAAAGCAATAATTGCACGTTTCACGTCGCAAATGCCATTTGTCGACCAACTATAACCATAACACTTGAGACGGATTAGGTTTGAATATTTTTCTAATGGGACTCGATAGAAATGAAAAATAAACATGCCGCAGAGTGAGCTGCGATCAATGTGTCAGTTTGAAATAAAAATAATTGTTGCTCACGGACAAATTCGTATTCATCATTATTGTTCGTAATAACTCGTTTTTCACGTATAGTGTCCATGAAAAAATATAGTCACGATCAAATCTCATTCAATGCAGTTAATTTTCTAGTCGTTTTAATCCAAGCGAACCGTTGATTTGCGCGCTGGGAAAAAAATATCGAACGTTTTGCACAGCTAAACTTGAACTTCATCTAACTGCGCGTTGTTGTACGTAGTAATCCAAAGCAGCACTGCTTCAACTGCGCACGGCATAAGAAGTATGTGAATTAAAAAATACAATTCCATCAATTGTGTTTACGTCGATTTTCAAAACCGAACACACCGAATTCGAACGGAGAATTGAAATAAACGCGTCGCGTCGGACGCGTTCACTTCTGGTGCCTATTCGTACAGTGTTGCTGTGTATGTACGTTTTCGCGACCCGTCGCCGTCAACGTTAATTAGCAATTCTTTGCCGACGCATTGACGGAGACGAACGCTGTTAATTGTTGCGAGCTGAAAGTAAAAGTGTGTCTCGTCTCATGAACGCCATTGACGTTTCGGGTAATGGATTTGTCAACACGACAACGTCGCGTGGACCGGCAGTAGGTCGAACGCAACGATCTCTTGAAAAAGTAAACTGCTTGCGAGAGCGAAGAGCTGCCCGATACGATTGCGTAACTTGTGTTCACGTGTAACAGGTCTGCCGTTCGTACAGCGATCTTCTGCGGAAAAACGTAAACATTACACGCGAACAGGGTCGGAAACCGTTTAACCAAATGTACTCGGTCGCGTGGCAGACAATAATACGAGCGGTGATATAAACGACCGTTTAATGAACAAACCGATGACACGGTAAAACTAAAAAACCTTTACGGTCCAGTCATATTTTTTTGATTCGACCGATAAGTAAATAAACGATAATCCGACTTGTAATGCCTTGTTGACGCGCTAATGGTTGGGCCGGGTGCGCGGACTGCTTTATGCGAGATGTGTATACGGATACATTGTCGCGGAGTGTACGTTTTGAAAAGAACAAAAACTAAAAATAAAAATAAAAAAATAAAAATAGAACGCTTACGCATTGAAATAGGGAGAGTGATCTTTGAAATGAAAAACCCCTAAAGGGTCCAGTTAATAATTTACCAACCCTTTTATTTTCAATGGAACCCGTTTTGTTCCGGTTGTTTGTGAAGCCCCAAAATCTATACACGTAAACGAATATACGTATACAACCCGTATACATAAAATACAATACACGAGCAAAAAGTATTTTTTTTTTCTGCCCGCACCCGTCTCCGGGGATTCGACGCGACGGTGCAAAACGGAAATTCTGTTAGAACTTCCGAAAGTAGAATATAATAGCTCGAACGCTATCACGTTCACTATTGCCTAATCTCCGATGCTAATATATGTATACAAAATAATCGGTAAAATAGCCGTTTACAAAAGACAAATATCAACAAATCAACAGTCTCCAGAAACAGTTTTCCAATTCGAAAAACGTACTCCGTTTTAATTCTATAGAATTAAATATATTGATAATATATTGAGAACGAAATGAACACATAAAGGTGTATTTAAGAGAAAGCGATTTCTATAACGCGTTAGAAACATTTGAAAGGGTGCGGAGAGTAACGATAACAGTCCATAATCCTAAACCGTTTATTATTGCAGTTTTAAAGTTTCAAAACTAAAAAAACTAAGCGGTAGGGTATGAAATAATTCAAAAAACTCAATTGTGGCTAATAAAGACTAATTATTGATAAAACGAATAAAAAAAAATTAAAAATTAAATTTATTTTTCAAAAAAAACGACACGGTATAGTTATCGGATTATTATCTTTTTCTGGCTACCATCGTTTTTCCCCGTAGACCTTCGTTAAGTTTACGATATTAATGACACAATATACGGTTTTTTTATCATTGTTATTTTTCGATTTGTTATAACGAATGATGATACCTTATTCGTGTACGGTTATAATATATTAATTTTTTTTATTTTAAACGTAATATTCACACTCGGTATAATTCAACGGTAAACTATAAACACGAGAACGGAGTTCTTGAGAATAAACGCTAATCGGTAGGTGTATATTTTTGCTGCCATAGGTTACATACAATATTCGTTGTCCGAAAAGATATTCTATTAAAACAGTTTCTTTACACAGTCGTATCCTGAAACGTAGTATAACAGCGTTATATGTATATAACGGTAGTTTTACACGGATCAGTGTTTTTTTTTTTTTTTTAATTGTAACAATGCCACTCGAGGCGAAATGTTCGCATGGTACAAACACGCATCATTGAAAATAACACGGCAAGACTTACATTACGTGAACAATATATGTACGCACGTAAGTCATTTATCATATAAAGTAAGCAAAATAATATTGCAGACACGTGAAGGATGTGTGTATGTATTAATTGCATTGGACGTTAACGGTGTACAGTTTACTGACCGCGTACAGAGTGTCTCATGAAAAAATTAACAATGTTATTACAATCGAACATAAAATTGTGTATATCCCAGCGGAACATCCTGTATTATGAATTCGGTAGTATCTGCCTGTTAAAGAAGAACAATAAATCGTTATTTTGAAAAATATAGTCTTTAAGTATATGTCTATATAAATTTCCAAAGATCAGAATTCGAATAAATCTATAATTTAACCACGACACGCTAAAGGATACACTTTAATTAATGGAAACTTCTTCAAAGCGGACACATTATTTATAGTGAACGCTTGTAAGTTTCTCAAGTAAAACTTATATAATGTAAAATTATAAACAATTATTTTTTTCAATTTCGAACGTTTTTAAATCCACCGCTAATGTCCTCCATTAAGAACTTTCGTTGTAAACTTATTTTTGGAGGAGTTTTTTCTTGGCTTTCGGTCGATTTTCAAACATTAATAATTGCTAATGATCGATGATGAAACTATACGTTCACGAAAAGTACCAACCGAAAAACAGTAAGAGTTTATCGAAATATTTCTAAACGGTTGAACGTTACACACGTTTTGTTTTGTTTTACTAGATATTTGTCGAAACCAAAAACTTGTTTTCAGTACACCGATCGGAGGATTTACGCCACGTGATTAAACAAATTATAATTTACAACAATTGAACCGTGTTCGCGCTTCTCTCGATACGTATGACGTTTAGGATATTTTCTGGTCCGCAGACACCGCTAGGTTAGGACCAATACATTTGTGCGGAAAAAAATTTCATCCGGAACGTTTTAATAACGGGCTTCATAATATGGGCCGTGGAGCTTAAAATCTGTGTGTGTGTACATTAGTTGTAATTATCACCATCTCTATGCTAGGCTGATTTAGTCACTTAATTTATGCACTGATGGGCAACGTCATGGGTTTCCGCGCAATACGTTTGAACGTGTTTATTAGCAACTGCTTTTATGTCGTCTTTAAAATAATCGTACAGACTTTATTTATGTCACACACATACGTGCGCACATGCCTTCGTATTGAATGTCATTGTATTCGGGGTAATACAATCGCTGTACACCATACCAGAGAGGTATCTCCCCTCCCCTCGGACTTCTTTATCCATCACGGATTGATTTAATATTTTTGATAAAAAAATATTTAATTTGTAGTTTAAAAACATGGTTAATATCAAAAATAGACGAAAGATGGATCAACTACCGATTATTGCACACATGTTTAGACATTATTGTAAGTATAGAAGGAATCATTAATTGATTTGCAAATGAAAAAAAAAAAATATAAATTATTATTATAATTAATATTTTCCAACACTTGAAGCATTTTTTTATTTTAAATTAAATAAAAGGTTATCATTTTTCCTTGTTTGTTGAACAAATTGCTGAAATTGTAGTCGATTCTCCGTTGCACTTTATACATCACTCGTAAATGTTTTTATTCACCCTTCTTAAAGAAGCTTTAGAACAGCCCCTTTAACTCACCCACCGATCATTTCGATAATATTGGTGATGAAAAATCTATAATTTATTACCTCGTCGCTGGTACACATGATGGTAAAGGCTTTAATTTGATTTCATACAGAGTTTAGGTAATATCGGAATAGCGCGAAGCGTTCACAATATTCTACTCCACTCACTGCACTGTATCACGAATGTATAGTACGTACCTACAATGCGCGCGCGCCGACGATAATCATTTCGACACAGCCTGTATCACTAACATTTGATTTATCGATAACACTGCTACGGTATAAAAAAAGAGTATGTACATGGAATAAAAAAAAAAAAAAAAAAAAAAATATACATGTTTCTGACTTAACCCTTTCTGGTTTTCTCGAAAGTGTTAGTGCGTTGGGTACAGATGTGTCCGCGGAAAGCGGTTTATGTGTCGAGACGAATTTTATGAATAAAATGCGTAAAATTCGCAATCACTAAATATAAACACACACGCACACTCGGCCGACCCGAAAACGGTTGCTGCTTCAACAACTCCCACCCCATGCACGCAACGAAGTCGGATACGAGGGTGTTGCACTTGTCCAATAGCGAAACGATGGGTCCGCCCACCCCCAGCCGGGTGCAGCGACGAGGGTGCAACGGTCGGGCCAGCCGCGTGTGCCTGTAACAACCAGTCTCTTGGTGACCATGGATCCGAAGTGTTTGTACGGTCTTGACGGTTCCGATTCAGGATTCGAGATGAGTTTTGATTCGGAAAACGAAGCCGCGTTTTCGTTAGACGACACCATGGGCTCGGAGGGTTTCGCGTCATCGGTGAGCTTAGCCGACGAAGATCTGCAAGTGAAGCCGAAAAAACGCCGTCAAAGAAGAACAAGAGAACGTAGTCCAACACAGGTAAGTTATCATAAAAAATCGTGAAATACTGTAGTGTGCCGCGATTAAAATGAATTGGGGACGGCCATTTCGAGTACGGAGATAACGGTTGAAAATATGTTTTAAAATATAATTTTCATTTTAAAGACCAAAACATTTATAAGATTTTATTTGATTTTTTCATTCAGCTGATTAAAATTAGAAAACACCGTCGCATGAAGGCCAACGACAGGGAACGGAACAGGATGCACATGTTGAACGAAGCCCTGGACAGACTGCGATGCGTTTTGCCTACGTACCCCGACGATGCAAAATTGACGAAAATCGAAACACTGAGGTTCGCACACAATTATATTTGGGCACTTTCTCACACTCTACAAGTCGTTGAGTCCACCGAACAATCGCCTTTAGATCAAAACCAACCACTTATGTTAACCATGGGTGATGTGACGGTTAGCATCGGTCAACAAGGCAATAAGGTAAGTGGTTATAACTTATATTTTTAACATAAATCGATTTAAAACGTAAAAAAATAATCAACGAGATTTTTTCAAATAAATAATTAATTTAATATTAAATAAGACACATGAATGTATCATTATTCGTTTTTTTGTTTTCATCTAATTACTTTAATGGATCATTCAAAACCTGAAGTATTTTAATGACTAATAAACAGGGTTTGGATTTTATGACATTAAAAAATACTAAAATATGGTAAGACCAAAAAACCATAAAATATTCCATAAAAACATAAAGAAGCAGCAACAAAAAAGTTAAAGAAATGTAAATCAAAATTAAATTCAAATTATTATCTCTTACTAATATTTTATTTTATATTTTGAATTATTACAATTATACCATAATATAATTTGATGAATCAATAAATTTATAAAAATACTAATATGACCTTTTGTTAATAATTTAAAAACTTTTGACAAAAAAAACAAAAATTGGGAAATTTTTCTTATTATACACAAATTAATACTATTTTTTATCCAATATAAAAAAAATATATATAAAAAACTATTAATAAAAAATTATATTATTATGCGTATAAGCGAAAAATAGTACCAAAAATTTGAAAATATGCGAAAAATAGCAAAATAAAATAAAATCTCTCTTTGTTATTTTAATCTGTAATAAATTGCAAATGCTATAAAATCCGAACCCCTGAGTAATAACGTACGTTTTACGCATTCGGCATTCTGAATAAACGTTAGTTAGCCGTAATATGAAACAGAAGTAGGTGTTCCACAATTGTATTTCGTGTTATATTTTTCAGTTATTCCCCGGTATTATGTTATCGACGGGTTACATTTTAAAAATAATGTTTTATTTAGTTCTTTTCTTGAGATTGATATTTTTTTCAACGTTTTTGTGAAAAAAAAAATCTTCCAAGATATCGTGACCCAATGAGTGGAGAGATTTTAGAAATTAGTAACATTTCACGGTTTTCATAGTGCTGTTGATGATTGTATGCAACAAATACTTCCGTTGGTTTCCTGAAATTTCAACGACAAATGCGCGGTATGTACCCAACGCAACATTACGTGAAGTCATCATTCGGAATAATACAAACTAAATATTTTCGAACTTTTCTGCGTGCGCCACTCGTTTTTCGGACGATTTCGATGCATGTCATTGTAACCGTTGCTGACCCTTTGCTATAACGACGGTTTGCTCTCGTTTCCAGATCACTTCGTCGACGGGCACGTGCGCGCTCGCGCAACAGAAGAAACCCGGTGGTTGCGCTTCAGACGTGCCCGAACCGTCACCGTCGACCCCGACCCCGACGGCTCTGGCAACCTCGACGCCCGTGAAGAAATCGCCGTCCGTTCACTGCTTGGACGACTCCGGTTACTTCGAAGAGCCACGGGTCGACCACCACCATCACCAATTCCTTCACCGTCATCATGCCACGACGGTGGCCGCTGTCGACGAGTACGCAGGCCACGACCACGGTGGTTACCGACCGGACTCCAGGTGGTTCCAGAGACAGGAGGACGGTCATCACCAGCACCAGCACCAGCCGGCCAACGATAGGACGTGGCCCGACCCTTCGTACTGCGACCCGTACCCGCTAACCAATCACTGGCCACAGCCGACCGCTTGGCACAACCACGGGCCGCTGACTTACCCCTCGTCCGTGGACCAGATGTGCCACGAACCGATGATGTTCTACTCTTGAGACTGCTGACGTAATCTCGTACCGATCCCGGTAACTTCCGCTCAACTCTTCCGGAATTGCGCTATCGGTATGCGTAAACAAAAATAATAACACGGTCCCGTCCGCCTATTCCTACTCCTTTTCCTCGTCCGGTGTTCGCGTCATCCATCACAACCGATCGTATCCGTGATACGGGCACACATGCCTTATCGACGTTCGCAGAAATCGACTCGGCTGTATTATTAAATATTATGTTTGTAATATTATATTATTATTATTATTATTATTATTATTATTATTATCTAACCTTTTTCCATCGGTTTTATTTTCCTTAGAAAAATATGCACTTGTTGTGAACACTCTGATATTGTAATAATATTTTTGTACACGTGTAAAATAAAAACGTAATACTAGACATAATTTGCACCAGTTGTTTGTTATTTTGACAAAGGTAATTCAGCGGAAATATCGTAACGATAATTTATAATAATTACTGTTGGGCCGGTCGCGATACCGTTATAAATCATAGCCGATGAAATATAATGGACCACGCGGAGATGACCGTGCTACCTGAAGCAGTTTGGTGTGTGTGTTTTTTTTTTATAGCTTAAGGAGGTTCATTTCTTTTCGTACAATCTGACGAACGTTCATTGGAATAATATAAAGACTATTGTGTTGGTAGTATGCTATTATAATTTGATTAGAATATCAAGTCGATGTTTTCACTGCTTTCGATAACGGTTGCGAGTAGCACGCCGAGAAGGAGGAATAAATCCTACTCCGACGGGATGGAGAAACAATCGCGCACGAACGCGTTGTTCAATTATCGGTATATTTGTATAAAAATAAAAATAAATAAATTAAATAAAAAAAGTATGCCTAAACTCGTACACGCTGACCGTCGCGGTCCGTTATTAACGAGCCCGTGGTGTTACGGACGATCAGGGGCGTATTTAGACTTACTTCTAGGGTGGGGGGACTCAACTTTTTTCTTTAATTCGGGCTCAAAATTTACAAGTAAAATTTTTGGTAATATTTAAATTAGGTGAATTCTTCATATTTTATTTTTTTTTTAATCTTACGTCACTTAAAATCGACTTTTGTGTAGTTCTTTTTTAACACCTGTATGTGTTTTGAAAGTTACGTTTGTGTTTTATTTGATTTTTCACTAAGTATGGACCCGAAAAAAAGCCCAATTCAGTATTCACAGCTACGCGTAATTTGATTTCGTTATAAAATGATCTACATTAAAAAAATTTGAAATGTGTATCTCACATAAAAATCAATTCCTTAAATACGAATTTAAGGGGGGCGACCGCTCCGTCGCCCCGCAATAAAATATGCCCATGCAGACGATTCGTGTACTGCGGTAGGGGCTAAAACCGTGAGGCCGTATACTTAGCGTACATTATCGTACACGACAACAATGAATAATAATAATAACATACATAAAAGCGCCCGTGTCGTTCCGGTGTAACACCTCGGAGTACTTGTAATCCGCCATAAGCCGATTATGCGGCGGTCACCGGCTCCCCCCCGTGAAGAATTTCGTTTCGGCCTAACGCGATCGACCCTGCCATCGCGCATGGCCTTCCAGTTAGACTGTACGACGCAGACAACGTGCGCTCGTCGCAGGACGCAGGACGCGCCAGAGCCGTCGACGCAGGACGTGGTCGTGAGAGGCACGCACAGTAAACCGTATTATTATTATTATTATTAGGTACTATTATTCTGTGGTCGAAATTTGAATAATTCGAATATCGCTGCGGTGACCGTCCATCGGATCCCCAGTTCGACCGCGATCCTTCCGGCATGTACGGCACGGAAATCATGCCCACTGTATTGAGACGCGCCACAAACGGCCAGGACCGGCTCAATTGTTTACTCACACCTAGGCAAGCTTAAGTTTGCCGCCCCTTACACGTAAACACTGCGTCAAATATTTGTTTTGTATAAGCAACACTGAAACAGACTTTATTCTGAATTAATTTTTTTTATTTAAGTAAAATTGACAACTACGATTAGTTCAATACATTTGTAATGACCAATAAACCACTACTAATAAAACAAAACAATTTATAGTCAAATTTTTTACTACAAATCATTTGATATGATTAGCTACTAGGAATTGTAATATTTTTTTTAAGAATCATCTTTAGTTTAAAAAAAATAAATGCCACCCTTCGCGTAAGCCTATGTCGCCTATTCCATGAGCCGGGTCAGCAAACGGCTATGGTCGGCGTGTTCGTTCGGATTTATTTGTTTTCCACGCACGGGATTTCACAGGGTCTTTTACGTTTTCGTCCGTGCACCAATACAGCCCGATCACACGTTACCACTCGATTACCGAATTTCAAATAAATCTCATAGAGCACGATTCAAATCGAAGACGGTTCGTCTCGCTCGGTGTTGTTTTCAACGGTTTCTCTGTTTTGCTCCGTTTTACTGCGACCGTAAAACGTACCATATGTGATATTTTTTCTTTTCTAACAAAATCTACGATCATTTTTCGAAAATTATTTATTATATACGCTAGTTAAATTCTTTTTTTTTTTTAAACAAAACAAGGTCTACGGGATAAAATATACACGTAAGAATAATCTGCTAATACTCACGTTCGAAAATATTTTCACGCATTTTGAGTAAAACGGTTTAAAAACCAACAAATGAGTAAAGCAAATAAAAAACGTTTACAGCAGTAGCATAATCGTATTTATTAATGTCCAGTAACTTGATAATGACCTACATCAATTGAATAAGATAAAAAAAAGGAAATTAATATTTTAAAGTTGCATTATATTAATTCTAATATAAATCTGCTGTTATGATATTTAACAATAATTGTTATGCGATATCGAATATAAATATTATAATAATAATAATAATATTATAAAATCAATGTTTTCTTTTTTTATTACAAATTTTTCCATTTAAAATTGATAAAAATTGCTTTCGATTTCCTTTTTATTATTTTATTTATTTATTTTTTTTGTCAAATAAACAATGGTATATAAATCTGAACACATGATAAAATCAACCCATGTCCTAGTATTTCTTTATAGTCTTAGCGAAAAAAAAATACCCCGAAGTAGTCCAGGTCATACACACTGCAGTGACGCATGCGATTATTCTGATAGATACGCGATCCATTGTATAGAGTTACCCGTGGATATCATTTATTCTGTTACGGACTAACTGTAATACGGTTTGTGAGCTTAGCTAAAACATTGTGAACTAGCAGTAATTTTCGAATGGCGCACAATAATAACAAACGACAATAATAAATAAACGTTTAAATGAACGTTTCATTTGAACGTACGAGAAAAAAATCTACCTAGATTAATGTTTGGACCATACGCACGATGCAAAACATACTGTACGCATTATAGGTAGTGGCGACCGTTATTGGAACGCGCGCGGAACGGATTAAAGCGGTCGCCGACTGCTGTACACTTGGTATTGCGTTGAAACGGCGGCGGTACAAAGTTACTCGTTTACATAAACCGGTAAACAGCACATTATTCTTGTACTCGGATAGGCACAACGTTCACTGAGAGACACACGTTTCATACGGTACTAATTTGTTCTCGAGGAAAAATCGTGATTGGATCGGGATGCATCGGAGAAACGGCCCGACCGTCGCGGGGATGTTTCGCCTTCCTTTCGATAACCTCTACATCCACCGCACACAAGCCTTGTCATTAGACCGGAATCCGTTCTCGGGGTCGAACATTTTAAAATGTTAACACAGACCAGACGCGATCTCCGGTTCCACACGCGTTCGTAAGTAAAGGCGAATGAGAGGTCAACCCTCCGTTGTTGCCGAAATCTCGGTTAGTAAAAAAAATAGTCAATAAAAATATAATTAGAATTATCTAAACGACGCCCTCCCCCGATTGATATTCCTTACCTACGCCCAGCGGCGTCGCAAGGGTATGGCGAACTGTGCCTGCGCCAGGAGCGCGAATTTCAAAGGGGCGTAAAATTCGTATGAAAAAGTCGTATTTTTATCTTACAGTCGAATCGAAATTTTTCCGTTATACTTTTTGAAGTACGCGTGAAATCAATGATCAAATTATGAAAACAGCACAAGGGCGTTTAAATAAAAAATTTCCTACGAAGGAATAAAATCATAAAGCGAGAAAAAAAAATTTTCCAAGATTAAAATGAACACCGAAATTGAATATTCAAAAAAAAAAAAAAAAATAGTAAAATTAAAGGTTAAAAAAAAATATCGTAACATCAAATTTTAATATTGGTCGACAAGCGTTTTTTTCCAAGTTTCCCGGGGGCGCTGGCCGGTCTTCCTACGCGTTACGTTCCACGTCGTTACCGTTGCGTTAGCGGGAAAAGAAAATACGCGCAGGGACGAGCGGAGGGACTTTTAACCGCGTATTCGGTCGATTATAAAATAAATCGACGCGAAATCGTTCTGGTCCCGGAGTGTGCACGAGAGGCACGTCCTGTACGTCGGTCGCGCAAATATTTACCGAGCGCCGGCGCGTGCACGGCAACAATGTGCGGCCGTCGAGGAAACGCACGCGCGGAAACGGTTCTCCGGCGGGTGTAAATGCTCCGTACGGGGCATGTGGCACGGTCACATTATCGTATTGTTCGCGGCCGGTCGCCGTCGGCGTACGCGTTCACGTTTGGGGAGATGATGCGTTTCGCGCGACGGATCCGGCTGTCGCACCTGTGCACTCGGCGTGGTGCGCGCGCGCGTTGCCCGTGTATAAAACGCGCGTTTCGCATTAAAATAATCCCCGACTCCGCGCGATCTTTTGTCGTGGCGACCGGGACGCGAAATCGGAAACCGAGCAGTCGGAGACGAAGGAGAAGGACATTGTTGTGCAAGCGGGCGAAAAAAAAAAAAATAAATAAATAAAGCAAACATCGGATAGGCATTATGTCGCCGCCGTGTCCCATTGTCGTCGGGCGCGCGGAGTCGAGTGCGTGTTTGCACACAAACATATCGTCGTCACCCGTACGAGTCCCCGTCACCGGTCGGACGACACGTACGCGCGACCCCGACCGCGGATCGTACCTACTACCGTCGCACCCTAACATCGTTCGTGGCTCCGTTGTACATGAGATCGCGCGGTAACTCTTACCTGCTGTCACGGCGCAGCAGTCGTCGTCGTCCTCTTTACGGAACTCGCGCGGGCAAAGGACCTACAACAACAACAACAACAACAATAATAATATTAACGTGATGTATAAATGTTTGCGATCCGAAGACGGACTGTCAGTTTACGAACAATGCGCGCGTGCATTGTGCCACTACGCTTCGGCGAAAATCGGTATATCCGCGACCGACGTCACGGTCCGTTTGTCACGGCTCCGGTGCGTTTACCGCAGCACAATCATGAACCCGCGAGGAACCGGGTACGTGGTGCAACAACGCATA